AGTTCTGTCACTAATATGTTGCAACATTATCCTACTACACACAGAAGCACTGCTTGAAAATGTGCAGTAGAGTGGTAGGTCCCAGCACAGTAAAACAGAAGTATCGTGAGACCCTAAGTGATGTGTTTCCAGTTGTCTTTCCGGTTTTGAGGAGTGTCACAAAAGCATCTCTCAAGGGCACCGTGACAGCGTTGATCACATATACTAATGATCATTCCCTTTCAGCCACAATAAATAGCATACAAATTTCTCCTGGGAAAACGTTGTCTAAGTTTACATCCTAATCTCTCTAAGGCTGTCCACTAAACTATTATTCATGCCACATTTTCCATCCTGTGAGTGCCGTTGTTCATTCCACCTCAACAAGTACAACTTGGAAGCATTGTAGTGAGGGAGCTTATGAAGTTGAACGATGCCTTCAATGAAGTCTATGGTAATTTGTTTTGTTTAAGCCACTGCTACTTTCATCTTGTATATTTCTATGCATTATAAATGAATTGATTTTCATTTAGTCATCAATTCCATTATTTTTGATGATGCTGTTAGTATTGTTTTACATTTCCAAAGTGTGGGAGGGTTGAATTGGGGAATGGATATTGTTTCATACATTCTACATCATTTCCTTCTCTAGTGTCGAGGACATGGCTCAGCAGCGGTTTCCCTAAATGCTACATGAAATCCAGAATATTTTGAAGATAGTTTTAATCATTCCGTCTACATATTTTCACCTTAGTACCAAATATTAAGCTACATTTTTGTCGATTAAATTTATTACAGTATTTAAATTGGATAATTTCATATCTGGAGAATATATGTATTTTTGTTACTCTCTTAACCCCAGAAATACCATTAAATTGACTTGACATAATTTGTTATATAAGATTCATTGCTCTTTATGTGGTTGTTCTCAGTTTTCTTTTTTTTTTTTTGTGAGGAAGATCAGCCCTGAGCTAAAGTCCATGCCAATCCTCCTCTTTTTGCTGAGGAAGACTGGCCCTGAGCTAACATCTGTGCCTATCTTCCTCCACTTTATGTGGGACGCCACCACAGCATGGCCTGATAAGCGGTGCATTGGTGCACACCCAGATCTGAACTTGGGCCGCCAGCAGAGGAGCGTGCGAACTTAACCACTACACCACGGGGCCGGCCCCTTTTCTCAGTTTTCTATACATAATTTGTTGAGTTTTGTGTAAATTTCACTGAGTTATTATTTCTTGGTATAACTGCCATAATCTAAAATTACTTTCCCTGTCTAGATTCATCATGTCCATGAGGGTAAACTGAACGAACACTTACCTATATCATATTTTACAGGAAACTTAGCCCATTTATTGCACTTTATGGACTTCTCCACTGTTGTGTCTAACTCTTGTATTTTCTGCAGAATTTCTAAAGATCTGGAAATTGCGTTCTTGAGTGTACACATGACAACTGTCTTGTTCCCTGGTTTCTTCTCTATCTGAACATCATATGGAGAGCACCTGGTCCCGTTTCTCCCACTTGCTGGTGCTGTGCTTTTCTCTGGCTCTTATTTGCTGTGTGTGTTGCTCACCACCTCTGCACATCGACCTCCTCCATGGGTCTCACGTCACTGCCAGGAAATATTTCAGCCTGTAACTGCTGCTACTTACAGTGCCCTGTAATACAATCCTTCCCCATTGTGGGTCATTTACTTACTTTCTCCAAAAAAGATACTTATGTTCTTCTGGCGATATTTAGTAAGTCTCATTTATTAAACTTGGACAAGTGCACATTTTTGTTGATTCATAATAACTGTGTAACCATTAATACATACAGTAGGAGCACCCTTGACCTCGTCTTTTTTGTATCAAACAACTTTCATAATGTTTTACATTATTTGAGCTTAGCAGAGTTAAAATATAGCACATTTTCTTGTTTGTATATAGATGCAATTGATTACCATGAATATTTAAACTCACTTGTTTTCCCCCTATTTTCACGTCTCCCCAGCCCCAGGCAAACACCATTCTACTTTTTCTATGAATTTGACTATTTTAGGTACCTCACATAAAGGGAATCATATAGTATTTGTCTTTTTCTGACTGGCTTATCCCACCTACTATAATGTCCTCAAAGTCCTTCCATGTTGCAGCAAATGACAGGATTTGTCATCTTAAGGTGGAATAATATTCCGTTGTATGTATATACCACATTTCATTTGTGCATTCATCAGTCAGTGGACATCTGGGTTGTTTCTACCTCTTGGCCATTGTGAATAAAGCTTCTGTGAACACAGGTATGCAAATCTCTCTTCAAGATCCTGCTTTACTTTTTTTTTGTTTATGTATACAGGCATACTTTGTTGTACTGTGCTTTGCAGGTTTTTTTCTTTTTTTAAAAGACTCTCCACCACCAAAAATACTATGACTTGTTGAAGGCTCAGATGATATTCTACAATTTTTGGCGATAAAGCATTTTTTCTTTTTTTTGCTAAGGAAGCTGGCCTCGAGCTAACATCTGTTGCCAATCTTCCACTTTCTGCTTGAGGAAGATTTGCCCTGAGCTAACATCTGTGCCAATCTTCCTCTATTTTGTACGTGTGTCACTGCCATGGCATGGCTGCCAACGAGTGGTATAGGTCCACACCTGGGAACCGAACCCAGGCTGCCGAAGCAGAGTGCACCAAATTTAACCAAGAGGCCAGAGGCCAGCCCCAAATAAAGTATTTTTTAACTAAGGTATGCACATTGTTTTGTTAGATATAATGCTATTGCACACTTAATAGGATATAGTGTAATCATAAATTTTATATGCACTGAGAAACCAAAAAATTTGCGTGACTCACTTCATAGCAATAATCATTTTATTGTCATGGTCTGGAACTGAAGCCACAGTATCTCTGAAGTATGCCTATATACGAAATTTCTAGTTTATCAAAAAAAATTCTGTTGTTCATGCGTACATTCATTCTTAAGAAGAAACTCAAGAACATTGATCTTTTCAAATTATTTCCCAAGCATTCCAAGGAGAAAAACTAGATTATGTTCTTCTCATCTTTAGTTCTGAAATTAATTTTCCTAGTATTCTTCAAATGCTAACTATATTTCTATTTTCAAATTACGTAAATGTGCAACCTTTGGATTTTATTTCAGTACACAAAAAAAACCCCATGTAGAAATATAATCATATGGTGTATATTTATGTATAGGGAGGCAGGTTTTAGCAGGGGTAAGTCTAAAATTGCACTGCAATGCTATTTTCATTATAGCCACAGAAATAATCTGAAATACACTATGGAGTCAACTCATATGCAAATTATGAATATATATTTCCAAAACCATAAGTTGTATGAATCTCACATGGAAAGAAATTGTGACAGATGCCATTCAACTAGAGAGCCTAATGATGTAGCATTAGTGTTCATTATGAAGCACCCCAATTAAGTGGGAGATACATGGATTAATAGAAGACACATGATTCATTCAGGATTACAAAAAAAAATTACACTTTATTTAGATGTGAAAGTATAACATAATAAAGGGATATGAAAATGCAATTCCAGTGGCTAAATTTGAATCTTTTACAAGCACACTCTTCTCTGGTTCTTGTGATTAAAATGTGCTATTATGTTTGTCTCTTCAGTTACCAAAAATAAGCCTAATTTTCATTAATCTATGATATACAACATCCATTACCTTTCAAAAAAAAGACCACCATTCCCCCTCCAGTTTTTCTACCACATATGCCATCCCTAGTAACCCCTCATTCTATTCAAGTGAAAATGTCATTTTCTCAATTTCCTGGCTTACTCTGTTTCATGGTCATCTGGTAGAGCAATGTATTCCTATAATCATCAATCAAAGCCTACAGTCATACCAACAAAGCTACAGAAGGGGCTGAGGCCACAGAAAGCATGATAATTTAGTAACAGTTTTACATCTATTCTCTGCCACTCCCCATGCTCGTAAATTCATACCATACTACATCTTCAAAATTAGTGTCATAGTTATTCCTGGTTCCATGAATATGAATAAATCCAACCTAATGAAGTGTGTCCACTCTTACTACCAATCCTTTCCCTGAGACCATCATGGTGACAAATGAAAAGCATATAATGAAAGTATAACATCAACAGATTTCAAATGAGGTTGTAACTCATCAATAATAATGTAGTCTTTTTAGGAAACCTCAAATAATTGAATTAAAACATTTTTTAACTGAAGATAGATCTTTCCACAGATACCCTCGTTTCACAGAAACACATCATCTCATGAGTCATAAATAATTTTAACTTTTAATTCTCTGTGCAACTTAACATGTGAGACTGGTTAATCTTCAAAAGTAATAGACATAGTTCACTCTAATATGAATATTCTTATGTGCAGTCCACTGAAAGAACTGGTTAAACAATTTATCAGCTTCCTTATATTTGTAATAGTTCTGTCCAGTATGAATGCTTTGGTGTATCACGTGGTCATTGCTTAAACGCCTCTACACATTTGTATGGTTTCCATCTTATATAAATTCTTGCATGACGATGAAGTTGTACTTTTTTGATAAAGCTGATCACACTCATTACATTTATAAGATTTCTCTTGTAGGGCCGGCCCCGTGGCTTAGCGGTTAAGTGCGCGCGCTCCGCTGCTGGCGGCCCGGGTTCGGATCCCGGGCGCGCACCGACGCACCGCTTCTCCGGCCATGCTGAGGCCGCGTCCCACATATAGCAACTAGAAGGTTGTGCAGCTATGACATACAACTATCTGCTGGGGCTTTGGGGGGAAAAATAAATAAATAAAATCTTTAAAAAAAAAAAAAAAAGATTTCTCTTGTAAGAATTCTCTTATGGTCCACAAGGCTTAAACTTTGGATACATCTTACCATATGTTACATCTGTGTGATTTCAAAGATGTATATTCTGATACCTAGTGAGGTGTGAGCCCTGATCACCAGGTTTGACACATACATTATATGGTTTCTCTCCACAGTGGAGTCTCTGATATTGAGTGAGGCTTGAACACTTGCATAAGTCTTATCTCAATCATATTTTTAAGGTTTTATTCTGCCATGAATTTTCTGATGATCCTCAGAGCTTGACCTTTGAATAAACACACTGCCACTTACATTAAGTTTATAATGTTTCTTTTCAGTATGTATTTTCTGATGCCTAGTAAAGCTTGAAAACTGGGCAAAAGCTCTGCCACTCACTGCATTTGTAAGGTTTCTCTCCACTATGGATTTTCTGATGTCTTCTAAGGGTTGCAAATCAGGTAAAAGATTTGTCACACTGATTACATTCATGTGGTTTCTCTCCAGTATGGATTCTCTTATGCTGAGTAAGGCCTGAACACTCAGCAAAGACTGTGCCGCATTCATTACATTTGTAAGGTTTCTCACCCGTATGAATTCTCTGGTGAATTGCAAGGCATGACATTCCACTAAAGACCTTGGCACATTCATTACATTTGTAAGGTTTTTCTTCAGTATGAATTTTCTTATGTTGAGTAACTATAAACCTTCTCTAAAGGCTTTGCCACACGTTACATTCATAAGGTTTCTCTCCAGTATGGACTTGCTGATGTCGAGTAAGATATGAACTCTCTGTAAAGGCTTTGCCACACTCATTACATTTGTATGGTTTCCCTCTAGTATGCATTCTTTCATGCTGAGTTAAGGCTTGAATGTCCAGCAAAGGCTTTGGCACATTCATTACATTTGTAAGGTTTCTCACCAGTATGAATTCTCTGGTGAATTAGAAGGCATGACTTTTGACTGAAGACCTTGGCACATTCATTACATTTCTAAGGTTTCTCTCCAGTATGAATTTTCTTTTGTCGAGTAAGATACAAACACATTCTAAAGGCTTTGCTACACACATTACATTTGTAAGGTTTCTCTCCAGTATGGATTTTCTGACGTTGAGTAAGATATGAACCCTCTGTAATGGCTTTGATACACTCATTACATTTGTATGGTTTCCCTCCAGTATGTATTCTTTTATGCCAAATAAGGCTTGAATGCCAAGAAAAGGCTTTGCCACATTCATTACATTTGTAAAGTTTCTCACCAGTATGAATTCTCTGGTGAACTACAAGGCATGACTTTTGACTAAAGACCTTACCGCATTCATTACGTTGGTAAGGTATGGATTTTCTTATGTCGATTAAGATGTGAACCCTCCATAAAAGCTTTGCAAAACTCACTGCATTTGTAACTTTTCTCTCCAGTATGGATTTTCTGATGTCTTCTAAGGCTTACAAATCTGGTTAAAGATTTGTCACACTGAATACATTCATAAGATTTAACTCCAGTATGGATTTTCTTATGCTCAGTAAGGCCTGAATGCTCAGCAAAGGTTATGCCACATTCATCACATCTGTAAGATTTCCAGTATCCACTCTCTGATGACATGCAAGTTTTGATTTTTGATGAAAGGCTTTGCAACCTACATCAGATTTATATGGTTTCTCTCCTGTATGGACTTGCTGAGGTGTACTAAGTTTCAAGCACTGATTAAAAGCTTTGTCACACTCATTACCTTTGTAAGGTCTCGGTCCAGAAGGAATTCTCTCATGACTCACGAGGTTCAATTGTTTGCTAAAAGGCTTCCCACCCTCATTATATTTGTAAGATTTTTCTCTAATGTGTGTTCTCCCATACTGTGCAGGTAAAAAAGGATATTTAAAAACCTTACTATATTTATTACAAATGTTTTCGACACTAGGAAGAATTCTTTGAAGTGGTGAAAGTGAGGAACCATTGTTGACAGACTTTTCAACTTCTCTGCATTCACCAATTTTCTCCTCAGTTTGAAATCTCTGCAGTTCAGCCAGGTGTGCCTGCCAACTTAATTCAGTTATAGTTTCCAAACACTTTATATACTTGTTTCCAGCATTGCTTATGTGATTTTTCAGTTTTAACAAATTCCTTATAAATTGTTCATCATGCATGAAATATTGGTATGTATTATCTTTTACAGAAACACTCTGTTTTTGTAGAAAATTAATTGAGGATTTATGGTGTTGCCAATCTATTCTACAAGTTGGATTTTTGTTATGAGTCAAAGGCACTCCTTTGTAATTTCTTGTATCATATCCCCGTTCATTCTGATGCTCATGCACGTTTTCCCAGACTTCCTTGAGGTCAAAATTGTTGATGCTATGCCTTCCATTGCTTTCCAATATCAATAAATGGTAGAATTCTCCTTAATCAATGTCCTCTCTTGGTGATAATTCCTTTATTGCAAATCCAGCAGAAAGGTTTCCTATTAGAGTTGGAAGAGAAATGTTTTATATTGAATTAGAACACTGTGCAAAAATTAATACTTAAACATAGTTGTGAAATCTCTGAAGCATTCTCTTCAAACACCACTGTGATATACAGATTTAAATTTTCTTTTCATTATTTTTTCTATATTTTCTCTGATCCCTCACAATAGGTTTTCAAAACACACATTATACACTATACATATTGTCTGGCTATACAACCAGAGAAATAAATGATACTCCACAGTTAGAGAATCTTCCCTAACTTTTAATCTTTATAATAAGGTGTGTTGATAGGAAGCAAGGAAAAGATAATAAGAAAAAATGTATATCACAATAATAATAATAAATAAAACATTTTCATAACCCATGACAAATATAGCAGGTAAGATAAAAGATAACCACATTCATACAAATTAACAGTCTCTGGAATGCTAAAGAATTCTTTCTAAGGAAATAAAGAAAGAATTTACATTCCAGAAGGAGCAAACAGTAGCAAAATGGAAATATATATTAAGAATCAGTGAATTTTAAAATATCAGTTTCAGGTAAATACACATTATTATAAAGATTAAGAATTAGGGAAGACTGTCTGAAATCTCAATTATGATTTCATGCCTGCAGTTATATAATACTCAGTACACAGATCAATTCTCTAACTATGGAGTATCATTTAATTATCCAGTTATGAGGTCAAAAAATGTGTATAATAGGTAGGATGTGCTTCAAAAACTCTAAAAGTGAAAGAAAACATTAATATAGAAAAAAATTACAAAAAGACAACGTACAAGATAGAATGCAGTGTATGTAGTGTGAGGAGGGGCAGGTCCTGTGGATACTGGGGTGTTTGGGTACTTAACAGACACAAAGGTGCCAGTATAGTTCACTTAGATCAATGAAAGCACTGAGAAAAGGCCAGGACTGGGATTTAGAACAGGAAGAGTGCAGGTTGGAGTAATGAGCCATGTGGGAACAGGGCTTGTGCTTGCAAATCTATGGGACTATAACTGTGCTATGACAGCTAAAATCTTGAGCTTGGAAAAGGAGACAAAGTCATTTAGCAAGAGGTGTAATACTGACTCATTCTGTAGGAACTATACTATGGGGATGAGGCAAACATGGAAGAGATTAAAAGGGGAGACAGTGTGGTGTTATGGAAAAAATGTATGTTGAATTCTACTCCAGTATTTGTTCTAAAAATGACCAAACTGAATATCGCACACATTCCATTTCTAGGCGTATACTCAAGAGAGTCATATGTATGTTCCAGAAGACATGTACAAGAACGTTCTTGGTAAGACCCAAAAGCAAAAACCTGGAAATGACGACCAAGAGAAGAATGGACAAATTTACTCTCTATGAACTCAGATGGATGCCATAAAACTCTCTCAAGAGTCCAGCAATGAAGGGTGACCATGGGTGCTGGATGATCTCTGACTGGGGGGTACAGAGGCTGTATGACGGCAAAAAAGTCAGCAGGAGGCTTTTGCCAAGGTTTCAACTCTTTGGGGATGTGATTATATTTGGTAAAACATATCTTGTGAACTGTATAACATATTTTTAAAAATAGAAATTTATCAATTTTGCCACAGTAAATTTATTAGTCTGAGTGTCCTTGCTTGTTATATGAAAACATGAGAGTCCCCATTTTGCTGCAATATTTTAATTATTTGAAATCATGTCTTTGGGACTTTTCATATGACAATCCAAGACATATAGGAGACAGCACGTGAGAAGTGCTCTTACTATATGTATTAGTAGATATATACTTATTATCATTATGAATGAATAGAAATTAATATACACTTATCCAAAAGTAATGAATTCTGAATTCACAAACATGATCAGAAAGCAGTACCCTTAAGGGGCATTACTAAATGAGCACAGAATGGTTGGTATGGAAAAATGGTGTTGGTAGCAGCATTTAAGTGTAGAAACAATTTTTGGCAGTGCCATGGTGATTCATGCAGAATTCTACATGCAAGCATGTGGTCAGCAACGTAAGTCTCCAATAATACCCAGAACAGGACAGCAACTGGATGTGTGTCAGCAAGGAACAGGTAACTTTTTACAGAATTTGGCTGAAAAGGAGGACAGGGAACAAAACAGGCTTCACGGGTTACTTGAAATATGTAATTCCAAGGACTTAAATTGTCTGAGAAATGCAACTCTCAGAAGCAGTAGTAATGAGGGAACCACGGACAATAAAAAACTGCCTAACTTTTCTATCAAATAAACTGAGATATTTAAATATTAGGTTAGTATACCAAGATGTGGAGGATGACTCTAGACAAGGAGAATAATTATTAGAATAAGTTATTTTTAGCAAAAAAATATAAAGTCAGTGAAATTAAAATCAAATCCAAAAGTTATTTTTTGAAAACTACATATACTGCATAAAACACAATGTATTTTATATATTAAAAAACTATGGAAAATCAATTGAATTGTATTTCTGTAGCTATGTAACTTAATTTTAAAAAGTGTTTTTAAGATTTCAAAAATTCTCAGTTTACAAAAATGTCATAGATTTAATTGAGGACAATGTGTAAAAACAATGAGATACCACTAGACACACGTATGAGGCTAGACAAAATCAAGAATAGTGACAACACCAAACACTGGCAAGGATGTTGAGAAAGAAGAACTCTCACTCATTGCTGGTGGGAATGCAAAATGGGAGTCACACTGGAAGAGAGTTTGCAGTTTCTTACAAAACTGAACGTATTCTTACAACACGATGTAGCAGTCACCCTCCTTGGTATTTACCCAAATGAGCTAAAAACTTATTCCCACATAAAAACTTGCACATGAATATTTATAGCAGTTGTATCCATAACTGCCAAAACTTGGAAGCAACCAAGATGTCCTTCAGTAGGTGAATGGAGAAATAAACTGAAGTACATCCAGATAATGGAAGTATTATCCCCCACTAAAAAGAAATGAACTATCAAGCCATGAAGAGACTTGGAGAAAAAAATGAATATAACTAAGTGAAATAAGAAAATATGAAAGGGTTATATACTGTTTGATTCCAAGTAAATGAAATCCTGGAAAAGGCATATCAATATAGCAGAGAGATCCCTGGTTGCAGGAGTTAGGAGGGAGGGAAAGATTAACAGGCAGAGCACAGAGGATTTTTAGGGCAATGAAATTAGTCTGTATGATACTATTATGGTAGATATGTGTCATTACACATTGGTCCAACCAATAGAATGTGAATGCCAAGAGTGAACTCGAAGGTAAAGATGGACTTTGGGTGATAATGATGTGTCACTGTAGGTTTATGAATGATAACAAATGTAGCACTCTGGTGTGGGATGCTGATAATGGGGAGGGTCTGGATGTGTGAAGGTAGGAAACATACGGGAAATCTTTACTTTTTGCACAATTTTCCTGTGAAACTAAAACTGCTCACAAAAACTGTCTACCAAAAAAAGTGTATGTTAATACTGCTAAGCATAAAGTAATAGGACACAATAGTAAAAGGAATAACTAAGACTACCTTTTCAAAAAATTCTAGAGGTTATACAGGTTTTGGGGGAAGTAATATTGAGTCACAACCAGTTGAGAAAGAAACCTCATAAAAAATATAAAACAATATTCATTCCATGACTCCACAGCCCCAAATTGGAGATATAAACCAAAGAACAGGGATGGTATCATCAAAAATATGGAACTGACGAAATAAATAGAAAACAAGATCAGTTATGACAATGAAATGTGCCAGATGAAAGTATCAGTAGCTTAAACAAAACAAATTACAGTAGACTTAAAAAACGTAGGCATCATTCAACTTTATAAACTTCCTTAATAAGATGTGTCAAAATAGTATTTGTTGAAGGTGAATGAACAAGAGCAGACGTATAGGATACACAATGTGGCATGAACAGTAGTTTACTCAAGAGTCTCACAGAAATTAGGTTGTGAACTTGGACAGTGTTCTCCTTAGGTTAAGTTCCTACACCTTTTATTTACTGCCGGCTCAAAGGAGATGATCATAGTATGTCTGACCCGTACTGTCATACTGCCCTTGGGAGACACTGTTCACTCCTCAACAAACAGGACAACTAGAAACACTTATCAGTCAGGCTCTCCTAATACTTTCCGCCTCAGTATCCTGGGACATGCTGGCCACTACCCACTGGCTTCAAGAGGCACTTCTGTATGTCAGAGGATGTATTTCTAACATATTAAGCAGTCTTCTCCATCAAGAATTTTCTCTTACCCAGTAAACACCCTCCATGGGAAAGTCCACCAGAAGCTGTCCATCACCTAAAGATGAGTTATCTCAAAAGAAAAAGAGGATGAAACTTCAGACTCTTGGAATGTGTATTTCAAAAGCAAGTTTCAGAGGCAAAATCTTAGAGGAGAATAAAAAATCAGGAAGACCAAGGTCTTTCTATGTTCTGTGACAGGGAGAGCAGGAAGAGGGAGAAAAATACAAGATATAGGAGTAAAATAAGAAAGTCAGATTTTGTGGGGTTCTTGAGAAGGGGCTGTGACCTGGGACTATAGGCTGTGGGGTGAGTGCCTGAAAGACTGCCGCAAAACAATGGGGATCAAAGAGAGGATCTCAGTGTGTAGTCTTTATATTACTGCTCAGTGACAATGTCAAACAATCTCAAATTCTATTCCTCTTTACATATATGTGGCAAAAAGAGAACTGAAGAGATGGCTGAGGGGCCTGAACAGGCAGTCAGGGCCTGACACAGCCCAGCGAGTTTCATGGAACCCCAGAGACAATGGAAGAGCAGCTATTTTGTTTGTCTATCTCCCGAGAAGTTCTCCCAAGAACATGAAATGCGAATGCAAACTGAAGAGGTCCTGGGGTCAGGACTAGAAAGCCCTCAGCTCTCATCTCTATGGACTGAGAACCAAGAGAGATCAAGGGGAAAGAGGACTTCTTAGAGACAGCCATCTTGGTCTCCCTCAAACCAAGGGACCCAAGTAGCCAGTGGGGCCAGATAATAGAGTATTGTACGTCATGATAAAGCTTTTGCCTGCCTCTGCGTGAGCTGCAGGATCATGGTCGAGTGTGATTTTAACCTTTTACACATTTGAATAACAGACTGGTAAGTTTGTATGTGTGGTTTGCGGGGGGAATCTCTTTGAGAGCTTATAAGAAATATACATTCATTTTCCCACAGATCTTTCCCAATTGAGGAGAATTTCCCAAACAATACTTAATGGAGCAGCTCACTCTGTGCCCATGTGAGCTCTTACTTGTGTTCACACCTCCATACATTCCCAGGTGCCTGCATTTTGTCCTACTTCCTTTTCACTCTTCAGAGTCCAGGGCTGTTTCCCCTGCTCTGCAATGGAGCTAATGTTGTGCTCAAGAGAGAGTTCAAATTATAAAGAAAAATTGAATGTGACACGCTGTGCTTTTGCAGAACACATTCCCAACTCTTTGTTCAGTAAGAAGAGGGAACATTATAGATGGGTCTAGAAATGTATTTCAAAAATCAGTCAACTCACTGCCTCCTTCTGAATGCTAAGGGGTTGGTTTTAAGTATGTAGGTATCTAGCTCTCTCCCAAGAACTAGTGAATCAAAAGCACAAGGGTAAAACCACAGAATCAGATATTTCTAAAATTGGCTATAATGTTTTCTGACTATTATGTTCTGAAACCACGACCAATGACGCATGCAATGGGCAGAACTTCTGAAGAAAGGGGAAGTTAGAGTCCATGTGCCACACTAGGAAGCCTTTCTGAATCAAAAAACCTTCAATCACTCTCTTAAGAACAGGGATTTGAAAATCAGACAGGCAAGGTAGGGGCTCCCAAGAGACTCATAAGGGAAAACGCAAAGATATACAGAAGTAGTTACCAACTTCAGAAGGGAAGTTATCCTCACCCAGGGAGAGCAGGTTCCTATAGTTCTCCAACGTTACGTCCCTGTACAAGGCCCTCTGAGCAGGGTCCAGGCATTCCCACTCCTCCCGAGAGAATTCTATGGCCACATCCCTGAAGGTCAACTGCCCCTGAAAGGAAAGCACATTTCACCATGTCAACAAGGACAGAGTTCTTATTTTGATACTAAATGAGAGACGAAGACATGTGTAAGCATTGACTCGGCAGGAGGGAATGTTCTCACTGATCCATTTAAGATAATTTTGGTCAAGTTATATTTCTCTAAATTTTCTTAACTGAGGTGAAATTCACATAACATAAAGTTAGCCATTTTAAATTACAATTCAGTGGCATTTAGTACATTCAAAATGTTGTACAAACATCACCTCCATCTAGTTCAAAAACATCTTTCTCATCCCAAAGGAAATCCATTCCCCATTAAGCAGTTGCTTCCCACTCCCCTCTCTCCCCAGTCCCTGGTAATCACTAACATGCTTTCTGTCTCTATGGATTTACCTATTTCAGGTACTTTCATATCACTGGAATGGTATGAAGTGTGCGATCTTTTGTGTCTGGCTTCTTTCACTTAGAATAATGTTTTTGGTTTATCTATGGTGTGGTATATGTATCAGGACCACACTCCTTTTTTATGGCTGAATAATTTCATTGTCTGACTATACCACAGTCATCCTTTCATGGACATCTGAGTTGTCACCACCTCTTGGCTAATGTTAACAGTGCTGCTTTGAACATGTGTTTGAATATTGGTTTTCAATTTTTTTGAGTATATACCTAGGAGTGGAATTACTGGGCTATATGGCTTAATTTTACAAAGATCTCCACACTATACTCCATAGTAGTGACACCACCTTCCACCAATGTATCAGGATTCCAATTTCTCCACATCCAAGCAACACTTGTTATTTTCTGTTTTGTTATACTCATCCCAGTGGGTGAGAAATTATATCTCATTGTGCTTTTGATTTTGTATTTTCCTGATGACTAATTTCATTGAACATATTTTCACGTGCTTGTTGGCCACTGTACATCTTTTATGGAGAAATGTCTATTAAAGTCATTTGACCATTTTTTAATTAGGTTCTTTGTATTTTGGTTGTTGAGTTGTAGGACTTCTTCATATATTCTGGATACTAGATCTAGACCAGATTTGTGATCTGCATTTTCTCCCATTTGGCAGACTGTGTTCTCACTGAGGTAACAGTGTCCTTCAGTGCACAAACATTTTTTATTTTGATGGAGACCAATTTCTCTGTTTTGTTTTACCTCTTTGCTTTTGGGGTCATATCTAAAAATCCACTGCCAAATCCAAGGTCAGGGAAATGTATCCCTACCTATTCATCTAATAGTTTTTTAGTTTTAGGTCTTACATTTAGTCTTTGGTTCATTTTAAATTATTTTTTCATATGGGGAAAGGCAGAGGTTCAATTTCATTCTCTTTCATGTAGATATGCAGTTGTCCCAGCACCACTTAAGAAACTATTCTTTCCCCATTGACCAGCACCCTTGTGAAAAAGGAATTGACTAGATGTATGGGTTTATCTGTGGACTCGCAGTTCTATCACCTTGCTTTATATTTCTATCCTCACGCTGGAAACACAGTTTTGATTACTCTAGTTTTGTAGTAAGGTTCGACACTGGACATTGTATGTGCTCCAACTTTGTCATTCTTTTCATGCTTATTTTGATTATTTGGAATCCTTACCAATTCAATATAAATTTTAAAATTAGGTTACCTATTTGTGCAAAAAAGGCTGTTGGGATTTTGATGGGAATTCCACTGAATCTTGATAGTACTTTGGGGAGGACTGTGACCTAAACAACACTAAGTCAACATTTTAGGGAGGACACTTCACAGACAGAGAAAATTAACAACTCCAAAATGTGGCATTTTAGGAAGGAGAAAACAGACCAATCCATTAAGACTATGACTTTTACCTCGGAAAGAGCCATTCCTTCTTTCTTTCCTCTTCCTCTGGGATTCTCAGGTTAGATTATTCTGTATGACAAAAACATGTTGTTCAGTGCTTAGAATCAACACATTGCCTTCCTCTGCCACAGGTATACACATAGGGAGAACCTCAATACAGGGGACAGATGGCCCTTTGGTGCCCACTGTAAGAGGAAGGATACAGGGACAGTAAACTCTACACAGAGATCAATAAGTGAGTTTTTCACCCATTTCTTAGAAAGCCCTCCCCTCCTTCGGAAACCCACACACTCTGCTGCAACTGCACTGTCCTTTGTCAGCTGGCATGGGCATCAGGAAACTGCCTCATGCAAGTCCCTGGCTCCTCCCTAGGCAGCCAGAATCTAATGAGCGGCTGATGCAGGACAGGGAAGCATGTCCCCTCCCTCAATCTGCACCACCTCTGAAGGGCCACCCAGCTCCACAGCTCGCTGCTGTAGATACACTGAGGAGTTTAGATTTTTGTCCTGAGAGTCAGGGGGAACCATAAGAGGGCTTAATGCCAGGAGATGACACAATCAAACTTAAGATTTACCCATGAAACACAGAGGGAGGAGAGTGAAGCTGAAAGAGACGCATGCCTCTCTCTCTGAGCCTCTGCCCCTGCCTCTTTCTTACTGGTTTTCATTATTTTTGGAGGACTGGGACACACTGCAAATTCTAATTCTAACTGGGCACCCTCTCCTGGAAAACTGCCAAATGCAGACACATGCCCAGTTTTGAAAATCATTTCAAGGATCCCACTAGCTCAGACTCAGAATTCCTGGTCTACTCGATCATCTCCATGTTACAGGTGGGGGCACTGAGGCTCAGAGGGGAGAAACTTTACCAAGTTACCCTGAAGAGGTCTGAGTTCAGTGAGCAGAACGGGGTGTATGCGGTGGCCTGGACAGGGCAGTAGAAAAGGTCTGTTCTAGTTCCAGATTACATTTCACATTCCTGATCAAGAGAAGATTCTCTTTCATGGGTTTAATCAAATTCAAGCATTTAATTCCTCTTTTCCAGAAAAAATATTAAAAAATGTTTAAAAAATGAAGTTACAAATAGTTATGAGTCTTGGAAACATGAAAGAGGGTCACTTGGAGATGGGCTCTGAGCAATCTATTCATCATGGACACATGGGCTCTGCGGGAACAAAGCTCCAGATTCAACCAGCTCATCCTTCAACATCTGCACAGAAAGTACACAGGGGACTGGAGGGGAACATCTATATAGTTGGAGACTTTAGCTTAGAGGTCACCAATTTAACAGATCACTTTAGGGAAGAAAGAAGCTGCTGACTAGTAAACTAACGGGTTACACTAGGTTTCCAGCGTTAAAAGACTACCAACATCCTTACCAGATTCACAGTGAAATACTGCAGTTATTTACAGAGATCAAAGTTCCAATATATAACAGAGTAGAAAGCATATAAACCTCATACTAGGAACAATAAAATTAACAGGGAAAATAATTTGGAAATTAAAAAAATACTAAACTTAAAACAAGTGTGAGGATACATCAAATTTAGAAAAGAATGACATGAGCCAAGGGGACAGAAAGTCCTTCCCCATTGCTTGAAAGGGAAGAGGGTGACCTGGAATTGACTGAGCTGTCTCTGCCCTCAGGGTGAATACCGGCTGCAAATGGAATTACCTTCTGGTGCAATTTCAGGAAATACAGATGCCTCAAACACGTGGTTTTCTAACTCGCATTCTCTTCTGCAAAACTTAAAAAGTTCAACAAATCTGAAATTAATTAGGTTACGGAGGCACAAGTCAGTACTTCACAACTTAATACCTCATATCCAATCAACTCAATACTGGCCCGGGTTTGGGTCCCTGGGTTTCTCCACCGCTGTGTATTGTGTTCTCTGTATTTGTCTCTGTCCTTCTGGTTCTCTCCTCTCCTTTTTTCCATTTTTTCCATTTCTGTGTTTCTCCTCATCCTCCTGTTCCCCTCCCTCTCTATTCCTCCTCCTACGGTGTTGGCCCCACTCTGTTGCAACCTCTGTTTCAATCCCCGAGTTCTTTCTCCCTAAACTTTCAGGTGACGCTCTAACTCCATTGATTTCTGCCTCTTTCTCCCCCTCTCTGTTCCCCTCTGCTCTCCCTGGAGGGGGGCAAAGGGCGTGTATCCGCCTCCTGAGTGAGGACTTGATCACGCGGTTGGGCGGGGGGAGTCAGACGTCACAGAAAGGTTTTGAGCAGGAAAACGACGCGGCGGTGGTCGGTGTCTACGCGGACCGAAGGCAGAAAGGTTGGGCCAGCATCTGCGTCAGAGCGATTTTAACGCGAAACGGACGTAGACTCCCGGACCGCACGGAGCCGCAGGACTCGGGACGTCTATAGCTACGGCGCCAGAGGTGAAAGGGACGAACTCACAGCGAGACGGACGAGCGGGTTCAGAAATTTTAACTTAGGAAGCGACCCCAAAACCCGGGTGTGACGGGCGGGGGCCTGAGGACCCGGAAGCGCATGTATCACCAAGAAACAAAGACTCACTCGTCGCAGCGCGCCGCTTGCTCCGCGGGATCCACTTCCGTCGCCAGGAAACCGCGCATGCGCGTGCGTATCGGGACGGGGCTGACCTGCCGGGTGGGGGCGGGACCGAGATAGGGGCGGGGCCCACAGGCACGTGGAGTCATCCTCTGCTCAGTCCCTGCAGGTTTCCAGATCTGATTGTCTTCCTGCCGGACAACCTCTGGTTCTCTGCTTTTGGCTTCCTTTGAATCTGTCTGGTGTCCTTTGGAGCCAGGCTACCTACAGGATTAGACGTGTGTGGGCCGCTGATGCTGCAAGCCGAGATATTTTCTCTTAGCAAATCGAAAACGGTTTCTCTGAAAGCTTGATAGAGACGCGTGTCCTAGGAGTGAGGCAGGGGGAGCGCTGGGACCTGGGGGTGGGGTACGGGGGTTGTAGGCGGTGGTTGGATCCTGGAACGTCTGAGACGCAGCACAGTTACAACAATTTATTTAATTGAGCCCGAGAAGGAGTGCACACGTCTCCCCAACCAGATCATTTTGTCCATTTTACCAAGAAGTGTTTTAAATATGCTTCCCTCCACCCCAAGCTATCATATATTTCAGCTGACTACCTTTCCTCTCAGGATGTGAGGTAAAGACATAAACCTGGTCTCCAGTGGTCTCCAGTGTCCTGTGGTGTGTCATATATTGTTTTATCCCCAGCTCCATCCAGGACCGGTTGCTACTGAGGCATTATTTTTCCTTCTCATGTTGTTCACTGATCATCACACAGGCTTTTCCATTTACTAAATTATTCTCACACTTCTCTGCCCAGTTAATTCTAGAGAAATTTTAATTTATCAAGTTCAAAGTCACATGGTCATATAAGTTTCTACTATCTCCAAGGTATTAGAGACCCCAATTTTATTTTTATTTATTTATTTTTGGTGAAGAGGTTGTCCCTGAGCAAACATCTGCGCCAGTCCTCCTTTATTTTGTATGTGGGTCACAGCCACAGCATGGCTTGATGAGAGATGTGTAGGTTGGTGCCCAGGATCCAAACCTGTGAACCTCCAGCTGCAAAAGTGGGAGTGTGTGAAGTTCACTATGCCACGGGGCCAGCCCCTAGAGATACCAATTTTTAATGGATTCTTAGACTTCTCCATTGCAATATTTAATGTAATGGAAATTTTATTCCATTGCACATAATATTATTTTAGTCTCTGCTGTGCCTACTACATTATGGATTCTATGAAGGCAGAGACTCGGTCTGTTTGTCACAGCCTCTCTGTTATGTGACTGCTCATCCTAGTGCTTAAATCTCTCTCAGAAATGAATGAAGTGACTGCACATTGTTTAAAGAAACAAAAATTTACATTATCATTTTAGGGAGGTGTGTATTCCATACAAAACAAGTTTGCCTCAGAAATCAATGAGGAAAATTTTCAACCCCAAACTCGTCATTATCCAAGGGACTCCTGTAAAGATGATGAACAGGTAGTGGGCTACTGCTAGGTGCTTGAGAATCGAACCTTAGGAAGGAGTTCAACCCTATTTTAATTATTTTTTACCATAGAGATTTCTTTCTATTTTTTTTTTTACCTTTTTCATGCTATAGGAAGAGAAGAATAAGACCATTTATTATCTTTTTGATAGGAATTTCCATTTCCCAAATACCCAGTGTTAATGCTATTATCTCCACTGTAGTTTTTGCTGATTATTAACTTAGGCACTTTGGCATATTTCTGAATTTTTACCTTCACTCATCTGTTAGTCTATTTGTGAATAAATATATCTTGTAGCGATAGCCACACTCATTTTGTGTCTTTTTTGGAGTTTTTGTGGCTATTCTTATTTGTTCATTATTGTATAAGATTTTTACAATAACATTGCTAGTTCCTAAAACTAACTGATGGTGTCTATATTGGGATCAAATTAAATTTATAAATTAGCTTAAGAAGAATTGACTTTTTAAAAATAATATTGAGTTTTTCTACCCAAAACATGATGGGAATTTCCATTTGTTTATATCTACTTTCATATATTTCAGGAATGTTTTATAGTTTTCCTAACATAGGACTTACTTATTTTTGTTAGACTTATTCCTGGTTAGTTTGTCACTTTATGTTATGCTTTTGTAATTTCAGCCCCTCCCACTGTAACTTGTAAATGATTGTTTTTTATATACATAAATTGTTTTATATATGTAAATTGTTTTTATATATGTAAATTATTGTGATTTATATATATGAAATGTGTTGTTTTTGTAAATCAATATTGTGTTCTATGAGCTTACTGAATTATTTTTTTGTAGTAGATTTTCTATCAATTCATTTGTGTTTCCAAATGTATAAGTGTATTGTCTGCAAACATACTTTTAAATCTTTCTTTCCAATTCTCACACCATTTTAAATTGCCCTGGCTAAACCTCCACCACAATGGTAACTGAATAGACCAGGTGATCATGTGCTTTCTTAGTGTCATTTTCTGACGTTAGTGGAATGTCTCTAGTGCTTCCCCATGAGAGAGACGAAGACTTTGTTTTTTCAAGTTGGGCAAGATGCATCAGTTCCTAATTTTGAGTGTTTTAGTTTAACATCCATACATATTGAATTCTTCCA